AGAAGAGACTGTGGGGTTGGAAATACCCTGTGCTTCATCAATGCCACCCCAGGGCAGGATTATACAGAGAGCCCTGTTCACAGGAAACGTCCTTCTGTGGGGGAAGCATGCCTTAACTTGGGATCTCTTCAGGGGAGTAGGGGAAAGTCTCCCTGACAACAATGCGATTTCCTGACCTAAGATGAGTGGAATAGCCACTTCTCAGCCTTCTGCCTGAGATCAAGTGAGCTGGATGCTATGTGGTGAGACGTGTTTGCTCTTGGGAACCTTAGGATGAAGTTGGCCCTCACCATTGTTGATGTGGAATGGGCTAATGTACCATCGTTTCCTCACACACAGGGACCCTTTGTCTTTAGAGCCCCAAAAGATGACAAGACAATGCCTGTGTCTCAGAAACAGCATCAGGAACACAGGGCACCTGGGAGGAGCCCGAGAGGTGGAAGAAGGTGAGGGGGAGGTAGAGGCCCACTGGGGACAGTCCTCCCCAGTCTGGGATGGGCTCCTCCCCCCACCACACCCCTCAGTCCAGGAAGAGGCCATTCAGCTGGCAGCAGAGCCCTGCTCTCCATCTCTCAGCCTTTGGAGCGCTTCAGCAAGGGAACTCCCTAGACTTCATTCCTGCCAGGAGGTGGGGCCACTGCTCCTGCAGCCTCACGCTGGTCACACACGCCTTGGCCTTCATGGGTTGCACTGAGGAGTCAATGATAAACGCACACAGCGTGATGATGCATGGTACTGGTCCAGTCTTATGGATGCCATCTCCTCCTCCAAGAGTCTCCCAGACAACAGCATCCAGGTGAGCTTGATTTCTCTCTCCCAGCTGCATAATTCTCAAGGTGGGATCTTGTCTTCTTGGTCCATGGTTGGGAGTGTTCAGAGGACCACAGATGAAGACAAATCTGAGTGCCTGATTCCCAGAGAGGAAGGCCCCAGAGGCCTGGAGAGCAGGCTGTTTTACCAGCAAGGGCCCTGCCTAGGCGGTTAGAATTGCACCAACCAAGGGAAGGATGTGGGGGCAGGAATAGTAGAGGTGACACTAAACCTCACGACTCCCACGAAGGTGACAGAGAAGCACTGGGCTCTGGCTTTATTTCAGGACAACTCATCTACTCAGGCAGAATGGCTGGAGGGTGCTGGACACTGTTTACCCTCTTCTGAGGGAGCAGAGCAGTTGCCCAAGATGATGGAGAGAATGAGGAGGGAGGGCATGGCCAGCAGGGGACATTCTGAGCCTTAGATGTCAGCCATGATTACAGGCTCAATTCATATCACAGTCCCTCCTTAGCCCCACCCTCAGCTCGTCCTGTGAGACAGACATGGCTGAAAGTCGGAGGTCACTGTCGTGTGGTTTCATGGTCTGTCACCCAAATGACCTCCGTGTGACAGCAAACAAAACAGTGAAGACCAGGGTCTTAATGAAGAGTCCACAGACCACGGGAACAACGATGCTGGATATGGAGACCCTGCTGAGAGAGGAGATGGAGGGTTGATTCAATGACTGCCCACACTGCAGAGTCTGGGAAATTCTTCCCATCCAATCTTTTCAACTCAGGTCCTCCCTGCAGCTTTCCCACAGCCTTTGGGGACAGTTTAGAT